TTGCACGTAATATTAAAATTTGGATTCTTTTTATGCAAAACAGAATAGGATATAGCCAAATTTTGGAGTGACTGCAAGCTTTTGGCCAGCACTGTATGCTCATCGAAGACGCTCTAGTAGCTCTTGAGCTTATCATTCTGGGAAAGTTCACTTTTTAAGCTTCAAACCTGTTTTTCAGAAGTATGACGCTCAAGAGCCCAAGTATATCTTTTTACAATGCTCAAATTTTATGCTTTTCGAAAATGCACTATACATCATCCAAAAAGCTACGAAAAAATTCAATTTTACTCGCATTTTTCTTGGACAAATTTGAGACTTTTAGTGTAGAAAATCGGTAAATTCTTAGTCATACTTGTTTGTCTTCCGTTTGTGATGTTTTTTTTTAATTTTCTGAACTGGAATTAGTTACTCAGGTTTGACGTGGTAATGCATAAACGTGCAAGTGTTTGGTGTGTGTTCCACAGCAACAGAAACTCACTGAGCCCACAAAAAAATCTACATTTTAGGAATTTCTAGCATGGACGGAATCCTTGGTCTTATAGCTATTGCATACAGTGGTTATGCTTTTAAAGAAAATCGTTCAATTTCGTTCCACATAAACAAAAAGACAATCTCATATCTTCACTTTTTCTCTGTTTTTGCCCCCATTTTTCAATAAACTGCTCTGCTAGCTATCGCACTTCAATGGTAACTCTTTTACGTCCGCAGCACTGCTCCCCTCTTATTTTTTATTCTCTCTCCGGTCCTTACGTGCATGTGAACGTAACAACGAAAAATCGCTAGGTTTTGGTAAAGGTTAAAGGAGACTTCGTAAGATCTTCGAAAATCAAGGAACTTTGTTTTCAAAAACTTTAAAACCGACTCGTGTCGCACCTTGGCTATAATTGCATTCATTTATAATTTCAAATGTATTCAAAAACACCAGAAGCAGCTCTGCAGAGCTCGGAATCGGAAGATCACAACTCCTTTTTTTAGCTTTGTTGTTATGGTTGTAGATCTGTTTTGTAGACGCAAGTTAGTAGTGTAGGTACGTACCCTAAGGATAAAAGGAGTTTGCGAAAAGAAAAGATCAATATTCAAAATTGCGCACTTTTCATAATCTATTTTGTGGTAAACCTGAAAGTTTCAAGTTATGGAAATACCTTCTTGCACTGAACAGTTAAGCTTTTTTTTGCAAAAATTGTAGACAATATATTCTAACCTCAGCGTACAAAAATGAGAGAAGCTTTGGCGATTGCCTTGTTCAAAAGAAGTTTTTAACCCATAAACTTAGCAGCGAGTTTCTGTTTTAGCGCATCTATTTCTCAATTCTACCTAGAAAAACATAAATAGGATAGTGGAGCAGCTACAACAGCTATTCCTTATAGTGTCATGTATGTTTTCAAATCGTTTATCTCCGTTTGTATTGTGGTCAAAAACGAGAGCAATGAAATTTAGAATTTGAGTGCTGGATTGCAAAGTGCTTATGTTTCTCACAGATGAGGATAGAAGCCTAATAGCCAACGTACTAGTAAAAAAAAATTAAATCTGTATGGAAAATACTTCAACGGAAAAAGTCGTGGTCTGGAGTAAGGACCCCAAAAACGGATACTATTTATCAACCTGATAACATGTCTACATACAAGGTATCCCAAAAAGATGAGATTGTTTGATTGTTAATAACTTTCTAGCTTCAATGTCTTGTGCCCATTTGTACCATTGTGCAGAGCAGGCTTCAGCTTAGATAACACAAAGCGAATTGCCGCTTCCTCTTCATTGCAGTAGGATTACGGTAGGAAATCCGACATGGTCTTAGACCAGCCATATTCTGCTTTAAAATCAAACGAACAAGCTAGAAACCATCATACTACGCTAATCGAATTCGCTGATTTGAACAACTAATTTTTACTCTACCGTAATGCTTCTTTCTTAAGTTATTCCAGATAGACTGTGACAACTGTTTGCGCAACAATTGTCAGAAATGCTTCACATCGTCAAAATGCCTGAAAACATGGAAACACTGGCAAACAATCGCACTCGCATTGTATTGAAATCACCATAAATCCTAATAGACAATCGTAGATTATTTTAAAGATTTCCAGACGGTCCATTCAACAATGTTCTGCTGGAAGTTCCGTATTCTTACAGTAAAGAAGAAAAATGTTCAGAGTCTGTAAAAAAGTTTGTTCCGTACTCTAATTCTACGTTGAAGCGCTCTACAGATTGGCACCAATGATCGGCAAAAGACATTGAAGCGAGAGAGTTATTAACGATCAAACATTGTGCAGCTCGTTTTGGGACATTCTGTATATTGTAACATTCTGCTGCCTCTGAGCTTTATATTGTGATTTGGTACAGTTGTTAAAAAAGCTCGGAAACGCACTAGTTTGAACGTTCATTTTCTTAAAATCATCAGGCCTCAAATTACAACACGGTTAGAAAGAGATATAAAGCGCAGCGGGCGTGATTACCTTTTTTAAATGGGAGGGAGGGTGATTGCCAAAAAACAGCGGTAGCGGCTTCCTCGTATGGTAATCTAGTAATAGCAGCCTCCTTGGGTGGTAAGTAGATCAAGAATGAATTATGCTGACTTTGGAGAATCAAGTATCAACATGGATATCTTCTTCATTTCTTCCTTACTAATTATCTCTGGGTTGCGTTTTTTTATCTCGTACTTCTTTTATTTTTTTCCAAAATACATGTCAGATTACGATATGAAACTGTCACTCTAAGGGAGGGTGCTGGCTCCGTGGTATGCCTGAGTGTACAGCGTTCTAAGAAGTTGTTTGGGTAGGACGCAAGATTGACCAATGCCCTTCCGTGCCCATCTAGTCTCAACTTCAAGGGCCTTCTGCTCTCTCCTGTTGGCTAAACAGAATAAAGACTAAACCATTGTTCATTTTTGATTTACCTACTTACCATATAAGGAGAGCGCTGCTACTAAATCATCATACAAGGAAACCGCTACCACTATTCGTTCGATCACCCGCCCTACATTTAAAATCCTATCCCTTTCTAACCATGATGTAATTTGAGGCCTGATGATGACTTTAAGAAATCGAAACGTTACCAATAAACTTTCTTTTTTTCCCCCGAGATTCTTCAACGAGTATGCTATATCAAAGCCTTGTATATCATAAGATTGTGCACATTGATTTTAATGGCTTTGATTTAGATAACTTTCAAACTTTTTAGATTCCAAGACCTTTGATAAGAACTTTAAGTAAATTCAACCGCGCTATTTTCATGACTTCATGCTTACTATCATGCAAAATCCGCGAAACAGTTAATCCCGCATAGCATGCGTAGTGCTTAGAACTCCCTCTCTACAATTTCTGTCCCGCTCCTTTTTTAACTAAGTCCATCAATGACATTTAAATACAGCGCTTTCTTACCTTGCATATTGCCTGATTTGCCTTGTAATTCTTCGTGTATTTTGCGCATTCACTTTTTTCGCACAATGCCATATAACAAAATCTAAGTAATTTTGTTCGCAAGTTCTTACAGTTTTTTTATTCTTCAGCAACGAGTAAAATATCTTTCCTATCTTCAGCAACTAGTAAAATATCACGTGTGATTTTTTGACAATCTATCGTTGGACATGGCATGCACAAATCTTTTGTGTCGTTATGTGAAATACAGCTGCAGCTAATTGCTTTAGCTAGGTTCTTGTTGTATTTATATCCTTATTATCTAGCAAATCCGGTTTCGCCTACCCTTTCAATAATATTTTTTGTAATGAGCATCATTTACCCCCCCCCCTCACAGTGCTAATTTCCAGTGAAACTTTGCAAAAATCGATGAAATCAGTATTCAATCGTTTGCGAAAAGTAGCTCTAAACACCCCTCCTGCTTCGAAGTGTAAGGTGTCAAGTTTGGCCTCATAAAATTCTATTCGGAGCATACCTATGTATACACAGATAGACAAGCACACATTCACAGACAGACATTCAGCTTCATTTATAGTGTGCTGATCGAAGGCTTGCCTTCCGTGATCTAATAAGTTATGTTGAGATATACCAACGCTCAAAATTATAAACGTTTTAAAAGAAATGTATTAAAATCACTTGTCTTGGTGCTAGCCTAATTACTACTCTGTTGCTGATCCTAGACAAATTTTAAACAAGCTTGTGAAGCGCTTTGTTTGGGTAAACTCGAATTTTCATACCTTGTTCAACCAAGATGGCACTTTCTTGGCCAACTTAAGATTTTCGTCTTGATTCTCTGACAAAGGAACGATCCCAACTTAAGTCGGCGAATTGGAAAGAGCCGCATATCATTAGATGCGCCTTGATAAACTGAAATCTGCCTTTTATATCTGCGGAGCCGTTTTCTGCAGAAAGTTATAAGTGTTTGAAAATGTGAAGCCACTGGGGTTTCAATGCTTAATGTCTTTCAAAATCCAACTTTAGAGTGTATGATTAGCATGATATTGAGTGTACTTATTTCAAGGAATGCTCACATTCAAAAGAAACACATATAAGTGTTTTTAAACAACTAATTTTCGAGGTATGGCGCTGTATTATTACTTAGTTTGTACTTACATTGTTCATAGCCTCTACTAACGAACTTTAGTTGCTTTTTAGTTGTTCTAAAACATTTATTTGTGTTTCTTTGAATGTGAGCATTCTTTGAAATAAGTACACTCAGTACCATGCTAATCATACACTCCCAGTTGGATTTTAGAGCACATTATGCATTAAAACCCAGTGACTTCACATTTTCAAACGCTTATAACTTTTTGCAGAGAACGGCATCCGCAACGAAAGGCATATTTGGGATCAGCTCATCAAGACGCATCCAATGATATGCGGTTCATTCCAATTCGCCGCCTCAAGTTGGAATCTTTCCTTTGTGAGTAAGGTTTTTTCGTTGTTGCATACGACGGTGTTTGTATTACGCACCTTTGTGCGACATCGCGTTCGAGCTTTTGAATACTGGCACGTTATTGATGCTCAAAGAATGATTGGAGCATATTTACATGATACAGCGTATAGAATTAGTCTTATGCTTTTACTCACGCAAGTTATGTCCACCGTACACCACATTCGCAGTCTGAAAATAAGTTTCGGAAGCTATTCCTCTATTAAATGGAAGATTTCCCGCTGACCTGAGAATTGTCAGCATTTACGACGACGGCGGAGGGACGGTGAAATGAGACAGTAGCATTCACTTGAAAACTCAAAATTCAATAATTCTTGAGCGTAAATAGTATAAAGCAAACCTGAAGAGCGCTTATCATTTGCTGAAGTTGTTACAGCCTTTACCAGTGGGAAGAATACAAAGAACGGGAGTAACATTGATTGCACGTTGGCACTATAATGCATGTGCTAACTGTCGGAGATTGTTGTATGTAGTCAAAGCCAATGAAATGTTCATTCACAAGAAAATTAGTATTGTGAATAAGGATCTCATGATCAGACACTTGCCGCGGAGACAACTGAGAAAAGGAAAAGGGCCCAGAGTTTGTAAACAGTGCTGGAACCGATGAGCAGAAACTTTCAATGATGCAATGATTATGATGACTTTCAATAATTATGCCTTATATTTCAAAACTGTAGCGCAATTATGGAAGAATTTTCATTTTATCTGAGAATGTCTTTAAAAAAACATCTCACAGTTAAATGCGCTTAGTCATCGTAAACTTTCCTTGCATACCTGATGGTTTTGTAACGATAATTGCTGCTGTTCTTTATCCACTTTCACTGTATAAAGCCGAATTTTTTCAACTGCGCTGGCTGAGCTTCATAAAATACCTAAAGCGCATAAGTGCTGCGCTCTTCTCACATTTGTAATTTCAGGTTAATGCAAATATAGCGTAATTCAAACGAAATTCAATACATTATCCAACACCAAAGCTAAATTCATAGTTTGGTATCTTGGAAACAGAAGAAGTTTACGTTCCACTATGGATGTGCAAGCATAACATTATAAGTTACACCAAAAACGAAGCTTTCAAAGCTTACAAATTCTATGAAGTTGTTGTGGTTAGAAAATTGCGGAGGGCGGAAGGATCTGTAATTTCCTACGTAGCAAAAACCCACCTGCCCACCTGTTTTGGCATTCAATCTCGTATAAGCAGAAGCAAGAAATATGTGAAAATTGTACAGGATAAATTTATCGTTGCTGTTTTTTCACTGAAACAAAATTCATGACTAGTTAGTTGACATAGTGCCGAAGAACATTTTTAAACGTCAAAAAAGTGTCCCGAAGAAAAGAACGACATTTTCCACAGACTTTTTTTTGCGTTACAGGAAGCACAGTGGCGTACAGTCTTTTGTTTTGAAAGTAGTTTTTACAATTTCTTTGAGCTAGCAAAGGCCCACCGCGATTTTAGAGCACCAAACTTATAGCAGACTAGCTGGACCCGGCTCCGCCGGCCCTGTCAAAACGCTATGATGAAAGTTTTATCCCTGTGCAACCCTTCCTTGTTTTCACTTCTACATGCTAATTCACTACCGCTGTGTTAGTAATTCGCATGGTCACTTACCCCTTTCCCCCCTGTGCCAACTCCCAGCCCATTGCTCAAACTTTGCAGAAATCTATAAAATTGATAAAGGTAACGGATAATTTTAGAAACTGTTGGGTTGATGCGAAAGCAATAGCCGATTTGCGAATTCTCATTTTGACGTGCTATAAATTTCTAAAAGTTCCACATTTCTGAATGCGGCAAAGATTCCCAGAAGCAGCAAACCTTCCGCAATGCAGCGCATACTCATCTTTACTCAAATCATAAACGGGAAGAGAAATACGGACTAAAAGACAAAAAAGGTTCTTCTGCTAGAACCTTGTTTTTAACAATTCTTAACTTCCTTCAAAGTTTTTTTAGTATAAATGATAAGTGGCCTATCTTGTGGCAGCAAGCCAGTAGTACAAAATACAATAAAAAGAATTTGAACAAAAAAGTTTGCGAGAAAGAAAAAAATTGAAATTCACAATTTTTCAGTTTTTTCAACATTTTTTCAGTGTGCCTCAAAGTCCGGAATATCGAATTTTTTGATTTTTTACGTAGTGAACAGCTGGATGTTTTTGCAAAAACTGCTAAGAAATGTCCTAGCTCTATGCTTACAGAATTGAGCAAAGCTTCGGCGACTGACTTCTTCACAAGAAAATTATGGGTCATAAAATAACCGCGACAGCTACGAATGTTTAAGCGCCGATATCTCAGCCTGAATAACTTCAAAGGATACAGTTGAGTATGCATAATGCAGACAGTTTCTACTACATGCAACTGCTAAATTCTTGAAGAATTCCGTATACGTGCTTGAATTCTGGCCGGAAAAATGAATGCAATGAAATTCTAGTTTGGATGCGGTTATTTGAAGCTCAGTAAATAACAGATGAGGATGAGAGCACGTTTCAAGCACCGTTAGATAGAGCATGAAGCTTCGCAATGGCATATCTGTTGTAAAGAAGAATTACTGATGGAAAAAAGTTGCTCTGAAAAAAGGCTTGGGAAACCGGCCACTACTTTTGCATCAACCTAATAATATCTTGTTCGTAATCAGCATGTTCGATTACCACCTCTGTCAACACCCAATTCAAACTTTGCAAAAAATTGATAAAATCAATAAAATTGATATTCGGTGACGAAAAGTAGCCCCTACCACACCCGCCCTACCTCAAAGTGTATGTGTTCTAATCTTGGTCCGGATAGATTCAGAAATAAAAATTTTGTATTCGGAACATATGTACACACATACAGACAGATAAACAAGCAGATTTTCAGCTATATATTATGAAATTTTGTGATGCTAGTTTTGAAAGCTTCGTTCGCGGTGGCTAACTCATAGAAGGTCATGCTCAAACATCTATTATGAAGCACATGCATTCCAGTTTTCTTGGGACACATGTATGAGTTTAGATTTAGTATTCAAATAAATTTCGTTTTTACACAAGATCGCACCACCCTAATATTAGGTCGATCTAGAGGTCTGTACCCTTTTTCGCATCTATTTTAAATCACGAAGAGTGTTGATGGGCAAACGCTTTGAGTAGGTCGATGCAAATAATTTTCTCTATTTTGACAGTTTGTATTCTCTCCGAGTCCCTTGAGTGCCGTGAAATTGTCAGAATCTCCAACGCATTGTTTTTACCGGCTCCAACTTTAGCTATTTTAGCAGAAAAAATTGTTTGGTTGACGTTTGCGGAGATGTTTAAGCTGATTCGTATATGAAAGTGTGAAACCATCGGAAAGAGCAATTTGAGAAGAATCTGATAATCAACTCTAGTTTCCTCGAAATCTACTTTTTTGATGAGGAAATCTTTCCAAAAAAACATCATCAGGAAAACTAGAAAAATTGCATCGATTGACTCCCTGGTTGCTCAGTGCTCAATGCTTTTAATGCTTGAAGAGACCAGACATGTATTTTTTTGCGTCATAAAATAAATTCAACAATTTTGAAAAGCTAGCTATATATGCCAAAAAATGTGTTACATTGCACTTTGTCAACTCTTCCCAAATGTTATCAAACTCTTGTAAAAAATTGGAATGAAAATTTATAAAATACTAGGTTGGAAAGAAAGTTCTCGGACACTTTCAGACTAGAACTCGTATTTCTCGAAAACTAATGCTTGTACATCCGAGAGAGGAGAAACCATTTGATAGAGCAAAGCAAGCTCTACAAGATGGCGTTTATGTTTTTGCACCAGGTTCGATCCACCTCAAGTTTAAAACCAAAGTCTAAAAAATTTCGGATGCCTAAAAAAATTGAAACTTTTTTATATTTTGATTCAAAAAAGTTCTACAAACCTCTCACTCGCTCACGTATATACACTTTACAACAGACACTCCCATGTGCTATTGCCGTATTTTTTTCATTGGCTAGAAATCAAGGAAACGAAAAATTCTATGTTTTTAACAAACTGATACTGTGCTGTTCTTACACTAACAATTGTATACGATAAGCTTTTAGAAGTATAATCCTAAATTTTTAGCACTGCATGAGCTCTAGTGCCCGAGAATTATAGAATTTAGCTATCCTCATTAGGGTTTTTTACGCTTAACCTAGCATTCCTCGGTAATCATAGCTCATAAAGAACTGACAGTTTACGGTACTTCTAAATGTTTGTACTGTACACTGTTAGTGTTAGAACAGACAGCTCACTTTGGTGAAAACTTGGAAATTTCCGTTCTTTTGATTTCTAGCCAATAGAATAAAGCAACAGCACATATAAGTGTCTGATGTGGAGTCTATATGCGTGAGCGAGGGAGAGATTTGTAGAACTTTTTTAAACAAAGATATAAAAATTTTTTAGCTGCATCTGCATACTGTTTAGGGTTGCTTGTCATTGTCTAAAGGATTTTCGGACAGGTCTAAAGACGTGAACCTTCGTACCGGCTTAATATTGGGTTGGTTTATAAATAAAGCATGTTTTTTGAACTTCAACTGTAAATCAAAATAACTCTTTTTCGATGAATCCAGGGCTTCTGATCGGGGCGAGGCTGGCTCCACGCACCCTTTTTGTGAAATTTTGGGGTTAGGGGCCCGCAAAAATTTGGAAAGCATACAAAAGATTTTTTCAGAGTTTGTGACTAACGCCACGCACCTTCATCAAAGAATTTTTTGTCTCCCCCCCCCCTGAATGGAAATCCTGGATACGTCACTGTTTGTTATACGTACTTGTAGTCACCAAAAAAAATTTTTTGGGAGCTCTAGTTTGAGAGGGTATAACCTATTCGAAAATGCACTAATAAAGCGCAAAATTTGCTCATCGTTTAGCAGATGGTAGATTGATTCGTCCAGTGAAATCGGATTAAACGGGAATTTTGCGCGAAAAAATATGGGTCAAAGAATCAAAAGTACCCGCATTTTTTTGCATTTTAGAAAAAGCGAAAAGCTGTTCGGATCTTTGATTTTTCTTCCTTGTAAAACGAGGAAATCCTGCCGTTTTATTGCCATCAATTTACTGTGTCTACCCTACCTGTGCAAAATGGAAGTTCCGTTCACGTTCTGCCTAAAATTTTTATACAGTCTAAAATAGTCCCAGCAATCAGCCAAGTTTAAACCAAAGCTGCTTGACTAAAAATTTTTCACAAATCTTGCCTTGGTAATCATTGTGTAGCGCAAAGCTCGCGATTACTGCACGTCGTTTGAAAAAATTTAAGCATTTTTAGAATTAGAGCGAGTAGAATGGAAAAATTCAAGTTTTGTTCTCTTATCTTTAAAGGTATATAACTTTGATACGAACAAAGATTTCCAAAGACGAAAGAGTACATAAGAAAGTAGAAGAAGCAAGCTCTCATAAACATATGTTTCGAAGAGAAGTGGTTTCACTTCGAAAAGCAGCTATGGAAATT